GGAGCAGGAGCAGGACCTGGAGCAGGAGCAGAACCCGGAGCAGGGGCAGGAGCAGGAGCAAGATGGCGGGGAGGCATCCGTGCTGGGGCCCCTGGAGCCGCTGCTGCCCCCGGCTGCCCCAGGTGAGGAGGAGGCAGAGCCCTGGCTGCAGGGCTGCTGCTGCTGACTTCGAGTGTCCCTGGGGTCCCTGCAGGGTTTTCATTGCCTGGAAGTTCCCCAGGGGCACTATTGACCCTGACTGTGGCGCCCCTCACTTCCCAGCAGGTTCTGCAGTGACACAGGATGACGGGGAGCCCCAGGGTGGAGACGCCACTACTGCTAATGGGGCTGCTGGAGCTTATGAGCTCGGGGCCTGCCCCGACAGGGCACCCAGAGGAGGCCCTCCAGGCGTGAGAAGACCCCTGCGGAGGAGCACAGGCCAGGCCCTGTCTGTAGGAGGGCCCCAGGCAGGAGCCAGGCCAGCAGCCTGCACCCCCGGCCAGCGAGCAGCCAGGCCCACTCCGCATGGGTGCAGGCTGTGCAACAAGGCTTTCCGGTTCCCGTCGCAGCTCACCCTCCACATGCGGCGGCACACGGGCGAGCGGCCCTTCCACTGTGACACGTGTGACAAGGGCTTCATGCAGCAGTCCGACCTGCGTGTGCACCAGTGCATCCACACAGGCGAGCGGCCCTTCCACTGCGACCAGTGCCACAAGGCCTTCACCCACAAGTCCACGCTGCAGGGCCACAAGCGCGTGCACAGCGGCGAGCAGCCCTTCGTGTGCACGCTCTGCTACAAGAGCTTCAGCCACCGGGGCAACCTCAACGTGCACATGCGCATCCACACGCAGGCCAAGCCCTACCTATGTCCCGTGTGCGGCCAGGCCTTCCGCCAGCTGGGCACCATGAAGCGCCACTGGAGGAACCACGTGACGAGGAGCCTCCGGATGCCGTGCGAGGCCCGTGGCGCAGAGCCACAGGAGGCAGAGTAGAGGCCACGGTGCCTCGTTGCAGAGCAAGGCCAGGAGGAGCACTCACGAGGGTCCTGCTGGCGGCGACAGTGCTGTTGGGGCCTGGGACTCGCAGTGATTTTTGCTTTGGGGGGTTAAGCCTCGGACTTTCTGACTGAGCTATGTCCTCAGCCCCCTTAATTGAGGTGGGATCTCACAGGGTCACCAACTTGCCCAGTTTGGGCTCAGACTTGAAATTGTCCTGCCTCAGCCTCCCAAGGAGCCCGGATGAACGACCAGGTGTTCCACCCCGCGTAGGCTGCTGCTTCTGGCCGCCTCAGCGCCTTGTTTCACTGCAGAAGGGGCAGCGCGTTCAGGACAATGAAGGCCGATTTTAACGCGATTTCTGTTTCCCTCAGGCGCATGCGTGAGGCCAGCGGAAGGAGGCCACGGCGCCCTGGGGTGGGCGGGGACGTCAGTGGGCAGCCCGCTGCGGGGTGCTTGTGGGGTCTGCTGGGGCTGCCTAGCGTACAACTTACTTGGAAAAATCTTCGTGGGCCGGGGAGATGGCTCAGTGGAATAAGCGCTTCCCTGGCAAGCGCAAGGGCCTGAGTTCAATCCCCGGTTCTGCAAAAAAAAATCATTTCAGTGGCCCTGTAGCTGTCGGAGCGGGCTCCACAGGTAGTGGCGCGGGCGGCCGGCAGGCGGCGCCAGAGGCGGCCGTCTGGGGCCTCAGCTCCCCGTGGCCCTTCCGGAGCGCCTGGACCGCGCTTGGCCGGTGGGCTCCGCGGCTGCCTGCATCTGGTTCGGTCTCCTGGATTTGAGTACCATGGATGCTGATGAATTGCGTGGAGACGGACTGTGACTGTCGTGTGACGCCCTGGTGACTACGTCGTAGCAGCATTGTGAGATGATGTATGTACTTTTAATAAATTTAGGATAAACTGTTAAAGCCATTTTATTACTCAGGTGTCAGGAGACTTGAAGGCTGAGAGAAAAGTGGGGCAGTGATGCAAATAAGAAACGGGAGAAATGGCCTGGATTTCAGAAACTTCAGGAAAATAGGGGAAAAGGGTCTGGTGCACGTGGCGGTGCTCGCCTGAGATCCCGGCCCTCGAGGCTGAGGCAGGAGGACTGCGGCCAGTGCAGGCCAGCCTGGCTGCACACTGACACCTTGTCTCAAGAAGACGAATGAACCCACACCAAACCCCTAAACTAACCGAAACCAAAAGGGAAAAGGAAAAGAGTCTAAGTCCACTTCAGTTTGTGGCCCTGGATTAGTAGTGGGCCTCTGTTCAGGTGAATCCACTGCTGAGGAGCTGCAGCTCAGCGGCGGCGGTCAGCTGGGCAGGACGACTGGCGGAGGCGATCGTCCACAGGGGATCGCCCACAGGGGATCGTCCACAGGGGATCGCCCACAGGGGATCATCCACAGGGGATCATCCACAGGGGATCGTCCACAGGGGATCGCCCACAGGGGATCGTCCACAGGGGATCGTCCACAGGGGATCATCCACAGGGGATCGTCCACAGGGGATCGTCCACAGGCTGCCCACGGCTGGCGTGCCCCGCAGAGGCTTTGCTCTTCCCCCTAGTGTCCGTGGCCGTCCACGTGAGGCGTTCACACGCGTGTATCATATGTTCAAGCTGGCATGCCCTCCAGAGAGTAGCCTGTGCTGCACCCGGGCCTGGGGAATTTCCTTCAGTGGCAGGCAATGTGCCCGGAATATAGACCTCAGCTTCAGTTTGTGCTGTGAATTATTCAGGGCTGAAGTACAAACTGGAGTAGCTGACCTTGGGATGCAGTGGGGAACGCCCTTTGGGGTTTGCTGGGGAGCAGTGCTGGGACTGAACCGGGGCCTCCCCGCAGAGCTACCTCCCCTGCCTGGCTGTCATATTTTGAGGTGGGAACTGAGTCGCCCAGGCAGCCCTCCTGCCTCAGCCTCCCTGCTTCTGCACCAGGCTGCAGGGAGCTGTGGGAACAGTTGCCCAGAGCACCGGGCTCCTCATACATGGCATTGCTGACTGTGACTTTCAGGCCCAAGTGTTCCTGGATGTCACCATGTGCACCCTGGACGGGGACACCCTGCCTCCAGGGATGGTGGTGCCATTTTCTGGTCCCCTCCCTCAGGAAACGGCTGGGCGTGAGCTCGCAGGTGTGCGGCTCATAACACCCAGCCTGTGGCCCACGGAGCCCTTTCCTTAGCCCAGGCCCTCCTTCACGCTTGGGGAGGCTGCAGGCACAGGGTCCGATTGGATTTGCTCTCCGGTCCTGTCCTCAGAGTTGGGGACCTGGCCTGAGGCCTTCAAGGGCTGTGAGAATGCCAGTCAGACCCTCAGGGGATCCCTGGGCTTGGGATCTTTTTGGATTAACCTGGACTTTCTCTGACATTCAAGAAGGCTTAAATTGAGGTGGGTGTGGCGGCGCATACCTGTAATCCCAGCACTCTGCAGGCTGGGAGGCAGGAGGATCCCAGGAGTCACAGGGCAGCCTGAACGGCATAGTGAGACCTCAAAAAAAAAAAAAAAAAAAAAAAAAAAAAAAAAAAAAAAAAAAAGAAAGAAAGAAAGAAAGAAAGAAAGAAAGAAAGAAAGAAATTTAAATTTAAAAGCATGGAGGAGGCCAGGAAGGACAAACCAGGCATGGCAGCCACCTCTGTGATCCCAGCCCTGTGGGAAGCTGAGGCAAGGTTATAAATCCAAGCAAGCCTGGTTAATTTAGTGAGTTAGCAAGACAGGGCCTTGAAAGAATTTTTGTAAAAAACCGGCGTTTTGCTATGTAGCCGGCGCTGGCCTTGAACTCCGTGATGCTGCAGCGTCAGGATGCCGAGCGCTGACGTCACAGGCGTGACGTCACCACACGGCTCTGGGCGGGTCTCAGACTAGCCGGAGCACGCCCATCTCGCCTCTGCGTTTGAGCAACTCACCAAGATACTGTTTTAGAAAAAAGTAACTACTTTTTATTTACACTTTTAAAAACTTTTCCTGTATTTTATTTTTAACTCATTATTAACTTTATTGAAAATCAATAATTACATAGCGAATTAAAAATTGTAGACATATTGAAATGTAAAAGATACAAGATACAGTGAATTTTAGAAAAATATTTCTGAAATGAATACATGAGACTAATAATAGACTGCACATTGTAAGAAAATTATTTCCAAATTGAATCTAACAATAAAAATTGTCTAAAATAAACATGAAGAACAGTTTACAGATCAGTCATATAATAATTGAGTCAAAATCAAGAAACTTATATTCATATAATTAGAATTGTTGAAGTAGAAGGGGGTAGGCAATAAATATTTAAGAGTTAAAATTTCTGAACTTAGTTAAAATTATAACACCACATTTCCAAGAGAAATGAACCCTCTGCACAAGAAATATGAATAAAATCATACCAAGATACACAAAACTCCCAATGAACCTCCTGCCTCATCCTCCCAAGTTCCAGATTAAAGGCATGGGCCACCACAACCGACATTTTATATTTTTTTATTTCGAAACAAGGTCACAAATCTATACGTGGAACTTTTGATCCTTCTGCCTCAGCCTCCCAGAGTGTTGGGATTATAGGTGTGAACCACTCACCTGGCTAGCAATTGATTACTACAATTGTAAAGCGTTTTTCTCCAGGTTTCTTTTTAAATTTTATTTGTAGAGTTTATGTGTGTGTGAACTTCTTTCAGGTAAGCTTGTAAAGCGAATGGATGTGCTGGGCGAGGTGGTGCACTCCTGTAATCCCAGCACTGGAGGGGCTGACGCAGGAGGATCCCTAGCTCGAGCCCAGCCTGGGCTACGAAGTGAGACCCTGTCTCAAAAACAAAACAAAACAAAACAACCCACGGCCAGGTGTGATGGCGCACGCTGATAATACCAGCACTCGGGAGGCTGAGGCAGGAGGCTCGCTGGGAGTTGGACAGTTTGAGACCAGCCTGGGCTACAAAGTGAGCTCAAGGCCAGCCTGACCTGCACAGCAAGTCCTGGTCTCAAAAAGACAGCAACAACCAACCAACCAAAACCCAGAAATAAAAGGGTGGGGCTGGCTACGGAGTCCCTCTGCGCGTTGCGTCAGTGCTCCCTGCAGGGCGCTGCCCGGCTCTCCGCGGCGCATATCTCCTCCTCGAGGCCGCGCGTCCGGAGAGCGAAGGTCGCGGCCCGAGGGACAGCGGGTTTTCTTTTTCTTTCTTGTTTTGCAGAACCGGGGATTGAACTCAGACCCTTGCACTTGCCAGGGAAGCACTTATCCTACTGAGCCATCTCCCCGGCCCCAGAGCGTTTTTTCTTTTCTAAAAGCAATGGATACATGACGACAGAGCCGCGCACCCTGGCGGACGTCTGGTGCGCTCTCCCGCCGCCGCGGAGCGCTGAGCCGGGCCAGGCGCGTGCACGTGTGGGCACCCGCGCGCGCGCGCGCACAGCGAGGACCAGCAGAGCCGGCTCCTCGCAGGAGGCCCCCCCGGGGCGGCCGTGAGGTGTGCTGCGGGCTCTCCCCACGCCCCGTGTGTACGCACACGCTCAGTTAGTCTCACGTGTGTGCTCGTGTGCGTGGGGCTGTGGGCACCACCGACCCCCCAGGTCCACGCAGAGAGCCCCCTCTCTCATGTACTGTATTATTTAATTTCTGGTGGCGCTGGAGTTCGACTGGAGGACTGTGCACTGAGCTGCACGCCCAGTGCGTTTTTGTTGTTTATTTAGAGACTGAGTCGCAGTGAGGC